GACGTACGTACTCTACTACAACACACTACTACTATATATATATATATATATATATATATATATATGGAAAAAGTATATATAAGGTTGCAACCTTAAAATGTAGAATTACAAATGCACCTCAAAAATTTATCGGAAAGGTTGTTTTAATGTTGAAAAACCCTCTAATTGATAATCTCGACATCGAGATGTGTGAATATTAAAAAAAAAAGGTTTTGAGTTCCAAAAATAGTGCATCTTGCAACACATTACCTAAACCGTCCAATTTCAAGATTTTCATATGTTTATAGATCTACTTGATTTTAACCATTTTTGGAGTTTAAAATTTTCTAATTCGATATGAATATAGTTTTTAAGATAATTCTAAAAAGAAATTTACAACAAAATTGCATGTTATGATAAAATTTGGAGATGCGTCTTAATTGGATTGTTTAAGGTTGCAACCTTATAAAAACCTCACTCTCTCTCTCTATATATATATATATATGAATTTCATATTTCGTGAAATGAAACAATGACTGTAAAATTGAATCTCTCTCTTTCTCTGTGACAAATTCTCTCTTACTAGGTTAAAGTCTTTGGTGCCCAAAAATGAAAAAGAAAAGAAAAGAAAAGAAAGAAATATTATATGCTTCTATGGATATATGGTCCATTGATTAAAAACTCTACCTAGGAGCTTTTTAAGGACCTCAAAAGATAAATGAAAAGGAAAAAATATATACATATTCATAACATTCTATATGTGAATGAAAAAAAAAAGAAAAAAAAAGATTCATAAAATTCTATATGTCCATAAAAAAATAATGCTCTAGGATTGAACTAAGACCGTCTAATCTTTGGATACTCAATCAAGGTTTTTTAAGAAAATACTTAAGTGGATCTTGAAATTTTGGGCAAAAAAGAACTAAATAATTCCTTTACCATAGGGAGTAACTAGACAATGTAGTCACTTGGGAGCACGTGTGGAGAAATGCCCAGTGGGTGGTGACAATAAAAAGCGACACCAGAGAAATGGTGGCTTCTTTTCCCAAATAGGCCATAGGTTTATGGCCGGTAGGGGTGGCAACGTTTGTGTGTAATTATATTTAAATATATTTTGTACATTGAGATCCAAAAGATATTATCGGACTCAAATAATGTTTCGGTCTAAGATTTGGACCTGGACCCGATCCACCAGGTCCAATTTTTTGACCCATACCCAGACCCGGATCAGGTCTACCCTCGGTCCCCTGGTTGGGTCCTGGTCCTTTATCGCCCCTAATGGCCACAAGAAATGCCAGGAAGATTATGTGCTCCTACGGGAACATATATCTATTTGCTGGTAAGTATTTATTGTGTCTTTAATTTTGAAATATAACTTCCTCAACCTAACAGCCAATCTTCAAACAAAAAAGCCTTGATAGAACTTTATACCCTAAAGAGAACAAAATATTAATTAAGAAAAATCCAGCCTTTTTCCAGAACATTAAGATATGATGATTAAAAAAAACATTCCTCTTTACCTAAGGGAACAAGTTTGCAGTGTGCTCCACCAGGACTACCCTATGGGTGAAGGATTTGATATATTCAAATAAGAAAAGGAAGTATACCAAATTACTAGTAATATCCAAGTAATTTCATTTTAAATTACAAAAATATCTCCTTCTTTTCTTCATTTTTTTGACAAGGAAAAATATCTTCCCTTTTATTTTATTTCATTTTTTTATATTCTATATGCATACTTATTTGGAAAAATTACAAACACCCCCCCCCCAAGTATACTATTTATGTAACTTAATTTTTCCTCTCACTTTTTTCCCCACAACCACCTTTCCTCGCAAAAACCCCCCAAGGTAAAAAAGTTGTTATTTTTTGGACATAAATGCCATTCCCGTACAAAAAAAAACTCAATTGGCGATCCCAAGTAGCATATTGCCAGAGCGACCAATTCAGCCGTCAGAGCGATGTAGCTCTAGAAGGTGTGCTGCCGGAGCGCATCTTTGTAATGCCGGAGCGCGTCTTTGTAATGCCGGAGCGACCTATTTAACCGCCGAGCGCTATGGCTCCAGAAGGTGTACTACCGGAGCCAGTCCTTGCATTGCTGGAGTACTTGTCTTCATTGCCGGAGCGACCCTCTGGATGGCTGGAGCACGCGTCTTCATTGTCGGAACGACCCTCTGCATTGTTGGAGCGCTTGTCTTCATTGTTGGATTGACTCTATGCATCGCTGGAGCGCATGTCTTCATTGTCGAAGCGACCCTCTGCATTGCTGGAGCACGTGTCTTCATTGCCGGCGACCCTCTGCATTGCTAGAGCACGTGTCTTCATTGCCGGCGACCCTCTGCACTGCTGGAGCGCGTGTTTTCATTGCTGGAGTGACCTTCTGCATTGTTGGAGTGTGTGTCTTCATTGTCGAAACGAGTTTCCGCATTGCTGGAGTGCATGGGTAAAACACACGGGGAGAGTGTCTTGGGTAAAAGCCACAAAGAGAGCGGGGGTAGTTTAGTCTATTTTTCATTTTTTTGGATTGGGGGTATTTGAGAGAAAAGGTGGTTGTGGAGAAAAAAATGAAAGAAAAGATTAACTTGGGATAAGTTACATAGATAATATACTTTGGTAGGTTTTTTTTGTAATTTTCCCTACTTATTTTCGGCCTTTTGTTATACCTTAAATGTCCCACTACATATTTGTAGTTCCATAGTGCTTTTCTGCTGCTACATATTTAACAGATGTGTAGTGATTGACACCACTACATACCTCTTAGGTCTATAATGGTGCAAGTACCATTTAGGTGCCTGTTGGATTCCATGGAGCACACTGTAGCAGGGCGAGCACCATTTAGGTGTTTTTTAGATTCCAGGAAGCACCAAAATGGTGCTTATACCTTTGTTTGCAAAATTGTTTGATCTAATCGCTAACTACTTGGTTAGATCGGAACCGGTCAGTTGCCGATTTCGGTTTTGGGCAGTTAGGGTGATTAACTAGTATTTAAGAAATATATATATATAAATTCTAAAAAATAAGAAATTTGATTTGTAATGCATTTTTAAATAATCTTTACATTATGGTAAATATTAAAATTTGCTTCGATCATTAATACTCACTTTTATATTTTCCCATCTTTTTTAGAAAATTTTAAAAATAGCCATTAGAAAATATAAAATGGGTTAAAATCCATTTTTTCATAAACTTTCAATTTAATTTGCATGTGTTTTGTTTTAATAATTATTTATATGTTTTTAATATTTTAGTAGATTTTTTTGTATTATTTTTTTAAAATTTTTTTCAGCACTTTTTTGACCACCCGGGATTTGTCTGATTAAAGCGGTTGAATCGGCCGATTCACCTGTTAAGCCATAATACGCGATCTCGACCGTTGCAGACTTGTTACGTATGTAGTGGTGTCAATTGACATGGATCTCTTAGATTCGTATCACTATCTCTCGCTGTGGATTTGACACAGTGCTTATAACTATCGATCTAACAAATCTGTTGGGGGATATTTGAGGTCTAAGGTAGACAGAGAAAAAAAATAGATATGTACTTAAAGTTACGAAAAGAAAAAGGTATTTTTGTGAAATTTAAAAATAAGAAAATATTTTAAAAAAATTACTTTAAAATAGAGGGCAAGCTTTCTATAATTCTCCTACAACATAAAACTTATATATTTCTCCTTATCCAACCATCCATTCTTAATGGAGGGCTAAGATTGTCCCAATCACAATGTCACGTCTCTACACTATTTTATTTTTAATATTTTTTTTGTAAACTATTTTAACACCAAATTTCGTACGTCCAATCCTTTATTATACTCGCACGAGCAAAAAATATAAAATAAATATTTTCAATAAAATAAAATGACCAAAATACCCCTGAAATTTTTAAGGGGTATTTTAGTCATTATGTTTTTTCAAACAATTATTTTTAATATTTTTTATAGGTGCGCCCTAATGAGAAGAAGGTACGTACCATATTTCATATTCATACAATTTGTATAAAAAAACTAAAAAAAATATACTTTGAGACATCAGATCTAAGATCAAACGGTGAGGGCTCTCTTGATCAAAATTGGACGGCTGGATGGTAGAGAAAGCATAGATCTTCTATGCTGTAGGGGAAGTATAGAAACCTTTCCCCAAAACAAATACTATAGTAATCAAGAGCCATTAATTTAGTGGCCTATGGAGAAAAAATTTGTATAAAAAAAGAGTAAATTTTTTAATAGTGATTATTTGGGATTCTACTCACATGGGTGTGGAAGGGTCTCGTATCATCATTACTCATTTTTAAAATATAAGTTTTTGAAAGAAATTTTCAAACCATTAATTTTGCTCTATTATTATTATTATTATTATCGTTTTTTTAGTAGTCACTACAATTCTACTTGCATGTTTTAAGATGGATCGTGTAAAGCCTCGGCAGAGACAAATGTAGCTATACGTCCCCCAAGCATAAGCCACTTTTCCGTATCAGAATATATTTTCTCGTATACGATTTTTATTTTTCGATGTTGTGCACAAAAAATTTGAGAACAAGCATTTATTCGAGTAGGTTTTATTCAAGGGAGTGAATAAACAATATGCTCCAGCGGGAGCATAGTCGATGGCAGATCGAGCTCAAAATTTATCAAGGCTTGGTAATGGACCGGATTCGACGCGAGACCCAAGTATATACCCGATTCGAGTCCAGGCATGAGTCCCGATAACAGACTCGTCGGGCCGGTCGGGTAAATTTCGGTCCGGTTGATTTGGGTCCCATATATATTTTTGGTCTTGAGGTCACCCGACCCGACCCACTGACGCCCCTAAATTATCATACGCAACCTGTGAACGAAGTGCCATACACATATACGCAACGTGTGGACGTTCGTGCCATACACCGTATGTGTGTAGCCGGGAGAAAGATGCCAAGCCCAACGGCCAACCGATTTTCTTTGGAATCACCACAGTTAGAGAGAGAAAGGAACATAAACTTTAGAGAGAGAGAGAGAGAGGGAGGAGAAACGGAGAGAGAAAGAGAATTGAGAAAGACGGAGGAGAGAGGAAGGTGCGAATGTAGAGGTGAAACACGAGTTTTGTGGAGAGAGAACGAGGAGTGAGAAAGACGGAGGAGAGAGACAGGTGAGAAATATAGATGTGAAATATGAGTTGTGCAGAGAGAGAAAGAGGAGAGAGAAAATCGAGGAGAGAGAAACATAAGAAGTATCGAAAACCTGCTCTGCTCCAAGCTGATATAGCCCTGCTTTCGACGTTCAAGCCAATGCTTCCGACTCCTTTAACATATCGCCATTACCCCAAACCCTACCCCCCGATCCTCCATTAAAGCTTCTTGGCTTTCTTACTTTTTAATTCTTTCATCTGCCATTTTGCAGATCATTTTTCTTCTTTATTTTACGTCTCTTGAGCCGCACAGTGAACCTGAATCACCTGATCGACCATTACAGAGCGAGGGTTTTTCTTCCATAGGGTTTTCTTAGAGAAGACTATCCTCGATCCGAAGGTTTCGTTTCATTTACGGCTATATCCGCCATGAATTCTCTGCAACATTCTCTCCTTTCACTTTCCGGGCGTTCTCCCTCTGATCTACTACGAAGCAGCTCTAACAGCTTTAATGGCGTCCCCTTGATAACCCTTGCTAAGGCTCGGTTCGTAACCAGGAGGTCAGCTACTGTCTCTGCAAAGATTGGAAAGGGGAAGAAGAACGACTCTCCATGGCCTGATGAGATCGATCCCAATGCAAAGGGTGGCTATGTTGGCTACCTTTCAGAGTTCAAGAAATTGACTGAGAAGCCTAAGCCAGTCACTCTGTCTTTTGAGAAGCCTTTAGTGGATTTGAAAAAGAAGATCATGGACGTAAGTTACAGAAAGCTTTTCATGGGTTTTCTTGTGCAATTAATTGTACATCTGTCCAAAATTTACTTATCAAAGAGGGAAAAAGATGATTTTTTTGATGTAATGTTTGCTAGAGTATTGGGGTCAAGTTACTTTGATTTTGATTTTTGCATGAAAGAGAGAGAAGAGGAAGTAGGGATTAGACCCTGTAATTTATCCCCAAAAACACAACAGAGAGAGAGAGAGAGAGAGAGATTTTTTGTTTTGTTTCTGATACCTGTTTTTGGCTTTCAATTATTGAAAGTTGTGTTTCGTTTATGAAACCTGTTTTGGCTTCAATTATTTGAAATTGCATTGTAAATTTATTTAAAATTACAATTGAGAATTATGTTGCTTTATATTTTTATGATTGATGTATGGATAATTTTAGAAGTTTAGATTTTAAATTTTTCATATTGGGTCATTACGTTTTTATGTGGAGTGTGATTGCGAAGCTTACTCTTTAATTTTACATCATTGTCATTGTTTTTACCAGTCTTGTCAGATTCACTTTGCATCGGCCGAAGAGGCTGAATCCTTCTAGACCGAAGCAAAGCGAAGCTTGGTGCTGCCGCTTCAGTAAGCTTCAGGCTGCTTCCGGCAGCTTCGGGCCAATTCGGCCGAAGCAAAGAAATATCTATATAAAAGTATTTTTTTCTTTATTTTTTTTTATTTTTTAAAATCTTTATTTTTAAATTTTATTTTATATAGTTATAAATATAAATATAAATATATAATTTATTTCTATTAAATTAAAAAAAAAAGTCCGAATTCATCCCCCAATCCAGCCAAAGCACGAATTGCTTTATTTTCCTGACCAAACTGAAGAAGACTCCGAAGCGAATATGACAACATTGGTTTTTACTTTCACAAATCCTTCTTTAGGCAGAACTTCTGATTATTGCTCTTTGACTCGAATTACTTTGTTAGCTGTATATTCTGCATTTTTTTAAAGTGCTAATGGATTTTATAGCTGTACCTTTCTGTGGACTCCTTTGGAGAAATTTATAGTATTATTGGAAAGGCATAGGAACATATATCTTCTTTTTGAGGATGGATATTCTATTATTTCAAGGTTTTGAAATTCAACCGAGTCGACTTGGACAACGCCGAGTTACTAGGATTTTGCACCTTTCTCAGCATTCTTAAGTACATACTTGGTCATATAAATATTATATATAATTTTTATGTTTTGATGATGATTTGTGAGGTTTTCTTATCATCTGCTATTTTTTTCTATTTTCGCCTCTCTTGGATTTTTCTGATTGTTTCCAACATATAAACTAATTTATTCCAAATTCCATCATTTATATTTTTTTTCCATCTTTTTTGGACTATTTGTTTTCATTTTTCATTTTTCATTTTTATTTTTATTCTTAATTTTTTACCCCTAGTTTGGGCTGGTACACTACTCAGGCAAGTCCACTCTAACTCACCGGAATTACCCCTCTTGGGCAGGCCCGATTCCCGAGCCTGAGCTGAATAATTGAATCTTGATTATTTTGATAAATAGTTACATTTTTATGATAAGATAATCACACTGTCCCCCTCATTATTTGGTAATTACCATTTGCATTTTCAGGTACGTAAGATGGCTGAGGAAACTGGCTTGGACTTTAGTGACCAGATCACCTCTTTGGAGATTAAATATCACCAAGTAATATTCTTAGCTTGTTTCTCTATTGCAAATTAGCAGATGAGTGACTGTTCTCAGTTCTTCCTCGTTTGTGTCAGTGTAACGATATTTTTCTCCGACCTGATTGCCAGAAGGCTTATAGGAGTGCAATTGTATTATGTTGATGATTCAACCACTATTACTTTACAAAAGATTAAATTATCTACAATTATCAGTCAACCAATAAACCTGAAGTTGTGATCCTATGGATGCCTAATTTGCCTCTGCCCAGTTATGGGACATCTTGAAAAAAGAGTCTCAAAAAATGTTGCTTTTCTTTTTTTCTTTTTTCTATATTGTGCTTTTCATTGTTATAGTGTACTGGTGATAATCCTAATGCCTTGGTTTGTAGTTTCTCGAAGTCTGATTTTTTTTTTCCAGGCACTTGAAGATCTATACACACATCTGACTCCAATAGAACGGTTGAATATTGCTCGACATCCTAACCGGCCAACGTTTCTTGATCATGTCTTGAACATAACTGATAAGGTCTTGAATCTTTCTAATGATTCTGTTTTCAGATCTGCAGGGCTTAACATTGGGAAAATATGCTATAATCCATTGGGCAATGAAAACCATAGTCAATTGGACTCATCACCATCATGTCATGTTCTGGCAGGTCCCGTTCTCTCCATCGCCATCCATAATTTTGTTGGATGGTGGTGACCCAATGGACTATTTCCACTTCATAATACATTGGATTGTATTATATTTTCCCTTTAACATCTGTAATCAGTTCTAGAGCATTCCTTTGTGATGCTGCGAGAGGGCTAATGAAAGCTACCCAAATTAATTATTAACCTTTACTTTATTTTATCTAGTGGGTGGAGCTCCATGGAGATCGTGCAGGTTATGATGACCCTGCCATTGTTACTGGAATCGGAAGCATAGATGGTAAAAGCTACATGTTTATTGGTCATCAGAAAGGAAGAAATACAAAGGAAAACATTAAACGTAACTTTGGGATGCCCACACCACATGGGTAAGTTTTTCTTTGCAGACGCAGTAGTTAGAATCAATCATTCTTATGAATAATTAGGCCTGCAAGGTAACCTTATGTTTTCTTTTTTTAAGTAAAAGGTGGCATGAATTTGATCCACTAGATTGAAGATTGTTATAGCTCCTTCGAATCAAAGCATTCTTTGCAAATTGAAATGGAAAATCTCCAATTGCATATATATCTATCAAGTTTTTTAGGCATAGTTCTCATTGAAGTGGAAAAGTGTCATAATTAATTACTTTTTCCTGAAATTGTCGTAATACTTAAAGTTCAAACCAATTTCAGGGCCACTGAATGCCTCTGATTGTTGCGCAGATACCGTAAAGCTTTGCGGATGATGCGTTATGCCGATCACCATGGATTTCCCATTATTACATTTGTTGACACTCCAGGAGCATATGCAGATCTTAATTCGGAGGGACTTGGCCAAGTATGCATTTTACTTAGCTTTAATAATGGTCGATATCCATTATTTGAATGAAAATATCTGAGTACTAGTCATTCCATTTCATATTGGATAGTTCACCACTTACAGGGGGAGGCCATAGCTTTTAATTTGAGGGAAATGTTTGGCCTTAAAGTTCCAATGGTTTCAGTTGTTATCGGGGAAGGTGGTTCTGGTGGTGCACTTGCGATTTGCTGCGCTAATAAACTATTTATGCTGCAGAATTCCGTTTTCTATGTTGCCAGGTACTTTGGCTCTCCTCTTTTTCCTTTACATGTGAGAAGAATTTCTTTTAGGGTCATAAAGTTTTATTTTGTTTTTTTATTTGGATTAGATTTATCATTCTGTAAGTTTATGTACAAATATGTGTGTAAAACGTTCAGCTGTCAGAATTTAGGTGCATATTTTTTATGCCGTTCTAAATCATTTGAAATATTTTCCTTGTGTTCAACTTCGTTACTAATTATTAAATTTACACGTGAATGTGATTTTGGAACCTCAAACAGTCTGGGTCTTACCAAACACAAGCAATCTTGTAGTACCTAAGTAGAATGGGAAGACTATGGTTGTTACTGTTGTCTTTGTCCAAAATACTCATCCACACTGTTTCTTGTTGCCTATAAAATGTTTGGGAAAGTACGATTACAGTCAAGTAGACTATCCAAAACCATAGTCCATTTGGTCATCACTGCAAAATGATAGGATGGATGATGTTAACCTATCCGAAAAAAGAAATCATGAATGATGACGGAAAGATGGTTGGACCAACCATTTAAGTCATGTACCTCTCTGATGGATCCCAACCTTTTCTCCACGACTGCCCATTTCATTGAAAATTGATAATGCCCATCACAATATGGTTTTCCATACTTCATCGGAATATAGCACTGTTTCCTAAAAGTTTTTCTCCCCCAAATTCTACTTGTATACGATCTGCTTGATTTTTGCATCTCATTTCTCCCTTTGTGTAACCAGCCCAGAAGCATGTGCTGCAATATTGTGGAAAACTGCCAAAGCCTCTCCAAAGGTATCAATCTGAAGAACCTATGAGTCCTCCCTTTCACACTATTGGCAATGCATAGGAAAATAGTATAGAAGAAAAGAAAAGACCTCATGGGGTCTTTTATTTTTGTATTATACATGAGGTCTTTTAATTTTGTATTATACATGAGGTATTTTCTTTTCTATTGTAAGACATGCACTCGGAGCAGAGCTTTCATTAGCTTCCAAGTTGTAAAGCAGCTGACAAATCATGGTTAATTGACCACCAACATATTATTAACAATATTAGATCTTAATTGCATAAGAACCTCTTTCCAGATTCAGCATTAACTTTTTTTGGCTCATGTAATTTTGTTTTGCCTACAGGCAGCTGAGAGGTTGAAGATCACTGCTACAGAACTATGCAAGCTGAAAATTGCAGATGGCATCATTCCTGTAATATTCTATATATTCATAATTACTTCCTCTTTGACATATCGTAGCTGTTTCCTTTACAAATCTATAAAGGTTAACCCTCATTAAGAAAATAGTTAGTTCCTTTTTCTTGCCATTTATTAGTTTTCATCTAGAATAAACAGTGAGGAAAAGAGAGAAATATCTTAGCATGTCTATTACTTGACAAACTATATTTAGAGAGCAATTCCATTCCCTTCCATGATCTGATTCCCCAAGCAAACTTAGTATCGCTATAAAATCTCTGTTAATTCGCAGGCCTTGTCGCTATTTGAGACATCATTTTGAATCACTTGTCACTTTCCATTAAAAGAGACCAGGCAACTGATTTCTTTCGACATAAAATAGAAGCTGAGTGACATATGACGAAAACTCAAATGTGTGAACAAACTAATGTAAAACCATAGTCCATTGCATTGATGACCATCTACTGGGTTAATCTGGTGGAAGGAGAGTGGGGACATGTGAACGTGACTTGCCTTTGATGTTCGGCCCTGCTGTTCCCCATTTCTCTGTCATCTCATTGGCTAAGTACGGCAAAGGACAAATTTTATATCGTGGTCCATTCAGTTGTTTGCATTCCTTCTTTTGTATGTGGATGGCATCTTTATGTTTGCAGGCAATATTTTCAATGTTTGTTCAAAGTAATTAAATGGGAATATTTATTCAAGCATTATCATACATATTTTGAGTTCCAATAATATCATATTTGATGTCAACAGGAACCTCTTGGAGGTGCACATGTCGATCCATCTGGGACCTCACAGCAGATAAAAACTGCAGTGCTGAAGGCAATGAAGGTAGGCACATGACGAAACAGCATAATTTTAAGAAGCATGCCCTAATCCAATGGAATGTGGTGTACAATACTCTAAAGGGACATCCACCCTCCATTCCTGATGCCGAGAGTGGAGATCAAGTATTGGGGCCCATCAGGGACGTTTACCCAGGCAAAGTTAATCTCCACTGTGCAGCATTAAGAATGGACCTTGGGTGGCCACTGTCCACAGGATTATGTTGTATCTTTACCTATAATGATTAATGAAAAATCAACAACTAAAATGTCTCTCTCTCTCTCTCTCTCTCTCTCTGTGTTTCACTAGTGCAATTAGTGTGTAATAAACCAGTAACTGTGCAGGAGCTTGAAGAGATGGACACCGAGACATTGCTTCACCATCGAATGCTGAAATTCCGAAGTATTGGTGGATTCCAAGAAGGCATGCCAGTACCCCCAGAAAAGAAGTTCAACATGAAGAAGAAAGATGAACCCATTCTTGAGGCCATCAGCTCCTCTGATGGCTTAACTTTGGAAGATGAGATTGAGAAGGTTAAACAGCAAGTTCTTAAAGGTCGTGACCCCTCAGAACCCCCCTCTTCACAACCACTGGACTTGAGTTTGAATGAGATGATCGAGAAACTCAAGCGAGAGGTTGATCAAGAGTATGCTGAAGCCATCAAATTCCTGGGTCTTGAAGAGAGGCTCAAAACAATAAGGAAGGAGGTCACGGAAGCGAGAAATTCATCTGGAGAGAAGCTTGTTATGGATTCATCACTCAAGGATAAGATAGAAAAACTCTCAAGAGAACTCAAACAGGGTCTTGAAGAGGCACCCAATTACCCTACCTTGAGTTACAAGCTTGACATGTTGAAGGAGATTAAGAAGGCGAAAAAGATCTCAGACCAAAATGAGAAGGTTGAGAAGCTGAAGCCTGAAATGAATAAGAAGCTTCAAGAAGCTCTGGATAAACCTGAAGTGAAGGAGAAGTTTGAGCTTTTGAAGGAGGAAATCAAAAGCACAGGGGTCTTGACCGTGGAAGAGCTCGATGAGGAGTTGAAAAAGAAGTTTACGAAGTTGAAAGGGGAGATACAATTAGAGTTGGGTAAGGCTCTGGAGGCCATGGGATTGGATGTTCAGGCTGTAATTCCAAAAGAGGAAACTTTGAGAGCTGAGATGATCGAAGGACTCAAGCGAGAGGTTGATCAAGAGTTTGATGAAGCCATCAAATTCATGGGTCTCGAAGAGAGGCTCGAAACAATAGGGAAGGTGGTTATGGAAGCACGAAATTCATCTGGAGAGAATCTTGTTATGGATCCATTGCTCAAGGATGAGATAGAAAAACTTTCAAGAGAATTCAAACAGGGTCTTGAAGGGGCACCCAACTACCCAAGCTTGAGTAACAAGCTTGACATGTTGATGAAGGAGATTAAGAAGGCAAAAAAGCTCTCAGACCAAAATGAGAAGGTTGAGAAGCTGAAGCCTGAAATATATAAGAAGCTTCAAGAAGCTCTGGATAAACCTGAAGTGAAGGAGAAGATTGATCTTTTGAAGGAGGAAGTCAAAAGCAGAGGGGTCTCGACAGCAGAAGAGCTCGATGAGGAGTTGAAAGAGAAGGTTAGGAAGTTGAAAGGGGAGATACAATTAGAGTTGGGTAAGGCTCTGGAGATGAATGATCAGATTCAGAAGGGAATTGAAGAAGTTGTTAGCACTTCAGACTTGAAGAACAAGCTTAAGATGCTCGAAATGGAGGCGGCTACATTGGGAGAAGAGGCAAATTCTGATTTGGAAACCAGGATTGAAGAGGTTAAGAGGCAGATCAAGGAGAGATTAATGGAGACTTTGGATATGACCCAGTTTGGATTGAAGCAAGAAGATGGCCAGGACGGTGAAGGGTTGTCAAGAGTGGAGGTCAACGTGGGTGCCATGCATGATCACAACTTGGCTTAATTGTGAGTGACTGTCATAATCCTGCAGCTATTATTCATATTCTTCTTCTTCTTCGTCTTTTGTTGAATCAATAAATTCATGTTTGAATGCACAAGAGTCATGTGTGTGAGAGAGTAAATGCTTTTTTCTTTATGTGATTAAGCTTTTGCCATTTTCCTCATGGCATTTCTGTATGATGCAGGCAAATGATCAATGTGGTTCTAGGGGATGCTTAAGCTGCATTGGTTACCCTGAAGATCCTCAAACGACTATTGCCACCCTTCTGGAATCAACCATCACTTTCGTTGCAACAATGGCATGATCTGGTAGGGAATTACTATTGAGTAATTTTCACAGAGGATCTGTTCATTTGCCTCCCTGTTTCATAAGGGTCCTTGAATATAGAGTTGAATGACCTGTTTTGCAACTCATTGGCAGTTTGTCTTTGTACAAATTATAAAGTTTCCTTCTATTCTGATTTCTGAATCTTGAGCAGCTTCATAATGGTTAGAAATCATAAATAAGAGCAACTCTTATTCGGTATTCTTGGAACAGAAAAGAATCTATGATGCAGTTCATTTTGGGTATGGTGGGTTTGCAGTTTGCATCTCTTCCTTTCAATTTACTAGCTAAAATATCCTGATTAATTCATTTTCACTCAGTTTAAAACAAAGCAATGAAGCAGTCTTGCAAGTTTGTGATGGTCTTGCAGCCGTTTTTTTAGGAAAATTTTTGCGTGTTTTAAGTCTATTTATGTTCTTAAGAAACATGGTAAAAGAAATTGTGATTTATCCGTTTAAGAAGATAGGAGACTTCTTTAAAAGGAAACCTCACCATACCATAAAACATAGTTCCAATGCCAGAAAACTGCAGATCAATCATGAATAGGTGCGATTTTTGTATAGAGCCTAGGCTCTAAACCATCAAATTGGAGCTTTCAATACTAGAAATCTTTGTGATAGCCTTAAAATAGATTTTCATCTTTATTTATAAAGTTTAGAGCTTTAAAAATAGTGTAGATCGACAGATCTATGAAAACTTGAAAATCTTAAATATTGATGGTTCAAAAATGCGTTAGAAAATACACCATTTCCAAAACTTAAAATCCATTTTAATTCATGTCCATGCATCTTGATGACGAGATGATCAGGATATTCCTCTTTTAGTGAAATTTTTGAAGTAGGCTCTAATTTGACTGTTTGGAGCCTCGGCTCTACATAAACTTTTCCAAGCCTTAGAAATGATACATCTCACCATACTTTCTTGGACCGTCCATTTCAAGTGTTCACAGCTATAGGGGTCATCGGATCCGGTCTGGTTTGGCCGGAGCCGGAAAAAAAATACTGAATTCGGACCCGACCTGACCGGACCCAAAGTTATTGAACCTGGACTTGATTGGAACAAC